TGCTCTCCTGTGTCTGAGATTCCATGCTACCACAGGTCTTGCAGAACAGGTTCCCAGTGGGCAAGGCCAATGTACAGCCAGTTGTCAGGCTGGTGGCTGACACAACAGCCCACGCCATGGCTCCTGGAGAGGCACTGATGTGTGCTACTGATGCTGCTCTCTGCCAGCATGTGCTAGTGGGCTGGCCAGGATCTGGCTGCCGTGGCTTGCTCACCCAGGACTACTCTTCCATAACAAGGGCCTTTTCCTCATTTGTTAGCAGCTGCCATATCACAACTGAGTTGCATGAACAGGCATGATGGCAAATGCTGTCACAGACACTGGAGCTCAGTTTGCAAAAGCCACAGAGGACTATTTTTATTGGAGTATTGAAGTCTTTTATGGTGGGATTCATCTCTCCTGACTTTCCATTGTCAAAAGCTGATCTTGCTTCTAGCCTTCTTTCACAGCCATATTTGGAGTTCCTTCCATCTCATAGCTAAAGTAAGTACCTAAAATAGACAACTCACACCTTTGGAAACGCTTCTTTTTCCTCTGGCTATAAAGAGAAACTGTTCGAGTGGTTCATCTGGAAGTGTCTGCACTGAATCCATGCAGTGCTGCCTTGTGAGTGGATCTTACCATCAGCGTGCAACAATTGCAAGAAGTGTCGTTCCCTCTATAGATAATCTTCTTTGTATTCAACTTTAAAATACATTTACCGAAGTGCTGATAGTATTTTTCTGGGTGTCTCTTTTTGAGAACTGTCCCTCTTCTCCTGATAGACAACAGGCTTGCAGTTGTAATATATGTAAATTTGGAATTACCGGATGAGGCAAATTCTGATTTATCCTATTCTGGTGAATGAATCTACTAATTTTATACATTAAAAAAAAAAAAAAAAAGCATTAAGAATTAGGCAAAGATAACTTGTCATCACCTAAATACGTGTGTGAGAATGGATTAGTTTATCTCAAGAACAGGTTTGATTGCATTTCTTGTATTCTGAATTCTTTTAAGAGAAAGAAAGTTTCAATATGTACATTTTTCCCTTGTGTTAAAACTAAATCAATTAAACAGGAAGTTAGCATTTAAAGACTAATGCTGGAACATTGCAATTAAAACCCTTATAGATAATAACATTTTTCTGTATTGTATATATTCCTACTAAATGATAGAAAAAAGCTGTGTTTTGATTTTCTCACTGAGTATCTGGTGACAGCATAGACTCCTGCTGGCAAAATAGAAAAATTGGAACTTTAATTAAAGACCCATAATGAATCAGTAAATATATAATCATCACGGTAAAATTTGCAAAGTTCTGTCAAGCAAAATCCAATAGCAAGCGAGAATACAGCAGATAAAATGACTGTCTGCAGTTAACTACCAAGCTTCAGGTGAAAGTGAGAACTTGCATATTTATGGATTTAGCAAGTTCATTATTTAACTTTCATGACTAAATAATAAATTTACATGTATTTCATTGATTTAATTTAATATTTAGCAAATCTATTAATGTATTTTTACACAGAAAAAGCTAATCAAGGCTTTTCATACAAATTTTGTCAGAGTTTGTTATTTGAGGAGTTTACTTTTTGCTTGAAAGAAAGGGCATGGTAGGAAAATGCTTTTTTCTTCCAGGGTTCCTGAAGTTATTGGAGTCATAAAACTCTTTTTTCTATATTTAGAGATCACTAGAGCAGTCCTTTAATTAGATGTGAATCTGATTTTGTAATTCAATTTTCTACAAAAGCGAGCACCATGCTGTTACATGCAACCAGATGACCGAAAGCTGTTTTCTTGAGACTCTGCTGATAACACCTCGAATGACTTCTGGGTCAGACTCTTTCCTTGTGCTGGAGAGTTCTGCACTAGAGAAGACGTGGATTAGGTGACTGTGCACTCTGTATGTGCCCTGTTAGATGTGAGAGCTGATTTTCTACTTGTAGTTGGTTAGGGTGCGAGAGCTGGGCTGGCTGTGGGTAATATGCTCACTCTTTTTGTTTGGACAGCCTGTAGTCAGCTTGGGTAGCTGTATCATCCCACATCTCCTACTGGCAGCTGCAGGAATTTCTTGTGGTTGTGTTAAATAATTCTGGTGTATAGTAGGCAGAGGGTCAAACGAGAGGCTGGGATTTTCTGAGAGCATCTGCTTCTCTTTAGGTCTCCATGAGGGCAGCCCTTTTGCACCTCTGCATTGGGGTTGTGACACAGAGGGCCCATATCAAAAACTGGCAGACACTGATACGCAATTCTTGCCCTTTGAGGAGCTAAGTCATCCCTTAGTATCTCTGCTGACCCTTATCAAAGGCATCAAGAAGTGCAAGGCGTTGAGGTTGCAGGCAAGATGCTTGGAAAAACTGAGCCTGCTCTCTCAGGGCACTTGTACATGAGCTGAGCCACTCCATGGCTGTTGGGTGGATGGTAAGGAGTCACCTTTGGAGAGGTGCTTAAAGGAGCTTTAGTGTTTAGACTTCAGGAAAAAAAAAAAAAAGGAATGAAGAAAACAAGTTGTTTGTTCTGGGAGAGGCTGGCACCATTAGCATGCTGGCAAGTAGGCTGCCAAAGGAATGACAACACGAGAAACCTGCCTTCTTTTGCAAAGCTTTTGTATCAGTGAATGCGGGAAAGTTTTGCAATCACCATAAGAAGGAAATCCAAGGTTTAAAAACATGCCATGGAGTGCTCCACTTCTTGGAGTAGGCAGCGCTTTTGCTGTGACGTTGCGCTGGCTTCAAGCCTGAAAGCCCTAGGGCAGGGGAAAGAAACAGCCTGACGCTGCGGTGACACAAAGTAAGTTCTCTCTCTCTGCCTCTCACTGTCTCTCCCCACCTTCCCTTCTTGCTTCTTTCTATTTGTTTGTTTGTTTGTTTCTCTAACTGTTAGCTGTTAGTGCAGGACAGACTGGACTTTTTTGTACATCTCAGTGTCACTGAACTTGAGAGAGATTATATAAAGTGCAAAAGTACAATTCTGCAAATTATATCTTCTTTTAAAGGACAAGCATTGTGAACAGTGGGAAGTTTTAGCCCTCTGTACAAAAATTATCATTACCATTAATTCATTTTAAAAATTTGTCATAAATTAAATCTTGTATTATTTTTCTTGCTTCATTTAATTTTAAATACCACTGGTGTCAATGATTCACTGGTTTGCCAAGTTCAAGTTTTATAGAGTGGTTATGGAAAATGTTATTGTTTTACTAGGCGTAAGAGAAGTGTTTATACAGTTTAACATTTTCTATAAGTTTAAGGTATATAATTTGGCTGGCAGCATAACAGTAAATATTGTGAAAAGAAAACCATGTCACTGATTTAAATACTGTTTATTTAACAGAGTCAGATATTTCACAAAGTTAATCATCAGCAAAATACAAATCGATAAAGAATGTATTTGCTTTGGAGAACTCTGTCTTTCATCTCCTGTCCTATAAAGATTGGGGTAAATCTGAATTCACCATATCTTAATTATCCCTAACTTCTTTCTTCAATCTTTTTTGATTTCTGAGCTGCTGAAGGTGGTCTAAGGAAGGCTAGGTCCCTTTACAAATTTCATGTGTGGATCCCTCTGAAATATACATCTGTTTGCTTTTCATAATCACTTTTGGTGGATCCTACTGGAGTAGTATTTGGAACTAAAACCTACAAAACTGAAGTTAGAGTGCTTATGGGGCTTTATTAGACATTAGTGCCTGTTTGCAATCATTAGAAATAACTTGGGGGCAGCTGTTGGATTGCTAAGGGAGTGTTGTCCTTTCTGGGCATGGGTGGACATTTCTCAGGGGGTCCAGGTTGCTCCTGGACATCTTTCTTGGGAGAACTGAGCTCTCCAGAGGAACAGAGTGACCTTTGCTGTCAGCCCAGGACCCTGCCACAGCCCTACCACCCCCTGTGTCAAAAATCCCTCACAATACTTAAATGGCTCATGTGTCAGCTGGTCTCTGGGGCCTGCAGGAGAGGAACTTTGAGAAGTTCCCAGAGGATTAAACAGAGTGGGATATCTAAGATTGCAGTGCCTTGGGGGAGAAATGTTACAGGCCAATTTCTTGACCTATATTCCTCTATATTGCTCTAATACACGTGCCACTATATGTCAGAACTAACTCATTGATTTTGGTAAGCTGCACCAGTTTTCCAACAGAGGAGCTTGGCAATAGCTCTTTTTACCTTGTTAGCATTCCAGATGTCTCTGTATTAACTGGTTTCTCCTGATTAGCTTAATCTACATCAATCGATGTAGCTAAGATGACTCCTTATATCAGAACCAATTTTTAAATGGAAATCTTTGGCAGTCTCATTAAAATAGTTACATTTATCATCTGTCTTGCAGGAACTTCTGGAGACTTGTGAACTTAAAGACAGTCATTATTTGCTTTTCCCCTAATACATCTTTACCTACCGTATCTTTTTTTCTTATTTTCTGCTCAGTCATCATTTGTGGTATGATTCTACAAACATTATTCAATAAATAACGTTGCTCATAGGAATGTTGACAGAATGGTAGTGTTCAGTATTTCTGCAAATTCATAGATTACACAGAGAAAATTCTCATAAATATAACATAATACCAGAGGCCTACTGGATCACACCAAAAGTCCATTTAGCCTGGAATAGTAATCAAAAGTGGATATCTAAGAGAGAATGTAAGAATTTGATCAAGTATGATGAAGATGTTTCTCTGACCTACTGTCCTAACCTCCAGCTGCCTAGGGACTTCCCTTCTCTACAAAGATTTCTAAAAACTGTCAGCAAGTTGCCTCAAAATTTTCAATCTATCCAGGAAGGTTCTTTTAGAAAACAGATTTCACAGAGCAGGTACACCAGTCATTACAGTGACACTTTGAACAGACTTTAACATCCTTCCTTAGAAAAGGTGTCCATGTGTAGACATCTCAAGTAGTGTCTCACCATGTAGTATGTCTGAAAAACACTGGAACCTTTATTCTTATGCAAATAATAGTTAATCATAGTGATATTTTCCAAACAGGAAGACCTACATATCAGATCTGGAGGAGGAAAACAATGGACAGGCCAAACACTGCTGGCCAACTTAAAGACAAGTCACTTTTCCAGGACAGTGACGGCAGCACAGTTCCTGCCAAGAGTGTGTGCCATAATTGTTCAAAGCTAAAGGTATGGAGAGGAGCCCTCACCACATATTTTCTCTGGAATACTGAAAATCACAGTTTGAAGTTCTATCAAAATTCAATTAGTTCAGTATGACACTGACACTACAGGGGGCTCTTGATCAGGGAGAGCAGTGACAGGTTGAGGGGTAATGGTTTCAAACTGAGAGAGGGGACATTTAGATTAGATACTAGGAAGAAATTCTTTACTGTGAGGGTGGTGAGACACTGGCACAGGTTGCCCAGAGAAGCTGCAGCTGCCCCCTCCCTGGTAGTGTTCAAGGCCAGGCTGGATGGGGCTTTGAGCAGCCTGGTCTTGTGGAAGGTGTCCCTGCCCATGGCAGGGGGGTTGGAACTAGATGATCTTTAAGGTCCCTTCCAACCCAAACCATTCCGTGATTCTATGATACATGTGTTGGAAACAACACTCTAGGTTGTGATTCCAAACACATAGAAGTCAATAAATGTGTTCAGCAGTTAAGGCCGTACTTTACTAATGAATCATTTAGAGGTGTGCTATAGTCATAGTGGTGGTTACAGCTATATCTTTTTATCCGTGGTTTTTAGAACAGGAGAAGTAGGAGTAATAAGACATGCCATAATAATGGTACCAGTAATGAACAACTTTATGCTGCAAGTTTTTCCTAAGGAAGGAAACTGCCAAAACAGTATGTGGTAGAAAAGTAGAAGGTGCACATAGTCAATGTCAACTTTCTTTTCCTTGCAGTAGAATAATGTTTGGAGGCCATCCTGAAAGACAAAGTGAAATCCTCTGGTTTAATGAAAGCAATAGGAAGAACATCTTCACAGAGCATTAGAAAGCAAAGCATTTGATTTTTGTGTTTCTTGAGTAGGTTCCTCAGGTATCCAGCCATAAAGAAACAATTATTTCTTTGCAAACTCAATTGTTTTCTCTCTTCAGATATTTCTTGGAGCTCTAGCTTTTTCCTTTTTTGCCAAAGGATTTTCTGGAAGCTACATGAAAAGCATGTCCAGTCAAATTGAAAGGAGATTTGAAATCTCGTCATCGATTGTTGGCATTATTGACGGCAGCTTTGAGATAGGTATCTGTACTTTCTTTGAAAGTGGATAAATACTGCTTCCTAATACTTTTTTCCCCCACAAAAAAAATGATCTTTTTGTAATCTTACTGTTTCTCTCTCCTGCTGATGCAGGTAACTTAATGGTAATGGTGTTGGTGAGCTACCTTGGACCAAGAGTTCATCGACCAAAAGTAATTGCTGTTGGATGTCTCATCATGTCTTTAGGAGCATTTTTGTCAGTGATGCCTCAGTTCCTAATGGGACGGTAAATATGGAGAATTTTCGTGTTATGCACTAGTTGAAATTGACCATATGAAGTGTTTTTTAATCCTACACCTGAGTTAAAAGCTTGGCAATAGTAGTTTCTTCCAGATAACAGGAAGGTTTTAATAAGTGGATCTTTTAGTATTGAGTTTCTGATTTCCTCTCTGGAAGCTTACCTCTTTCTACAGGTAAGTAAGAGAGAAACCTCAGGTTTCTACAGAACTTATACATAGTTAGGGATAAAGTAAGTTGAATTTTTCACCTTGGATGGATATATATAGATGCATACTTTTTTAAAACTCTTCTTTTTTATATATACTTAAATGAACTATAATGAGATCTTCATGGAAGAGGTTTTTTTTCTGCATGGTGGCTATTCATTCTAAGCTCTTTATAGACACAGATAGGCTATTACTAGATCCTTAGCTAGCTAATTTTAAACTGGCACAGAAATCTGTTACACTCCTGTTACATATGTAAGAAACCAGTGCCAGTGTGGAGAAACATCAGCACTGTTGCATGTAGACACATGTGGATGGACTCTGCCTTGGTCCTTCAGTCTAAAGAACCATCTCTTAAGCCCTGGAAGTAGTTTTGCTCTTTGGCTTTGAAAAAGGAATGAAGATACCTACCTTTTTTTTAAGTGAAGCATTGGAAATGGGTTGCCCCTCTGCTTTGCCTGCATGTAACAGGAAAGAATATGTATGAACACAAGGCTCATACACACTTCCTGCAAAGCAGTCTTTCATGTGTCAGTTGTATTTTACATAGTTGTTTTCCAGTTATAATTATGAAAGGATAACTGTTAGTGTGGACAACTCCTCTGCGAGTGTATCAGCTTGCTCCCCAGCATTGTCTGAGGGCCGTCCGGTCACAGATACTACGGAAACACCCAGCGCAGTGAAAAATTTCGGTAAGCGTAAGCTCTGATGCTGTCCCTATTTAATACACTCTCTTTTACTGGAAAACAGTAAAACCCCTATTAGAAACCATGATATATACAAACTCAGCCTATAATGATTGCAAAACCCCATCTTTTATGTTATTTTTCTGTTGCAATAAAGTATTGTCAGAATTATGTTCACAGAAATGTAAATGTTTACGGCCTCCAGGATGTGAGAAAACAACAAATACCTATCTGTGGCTCTTTGTGCTGATGGGGAACCTTTTACGTGGAATTGGGGAAGCACCAGTTATGCCACTGGGGGTGTCATATATAGATGATTTTTCTAAAGAAGAAAACTCAGCTTTTTACATAGGTAATATGCAAATAAGTTGTTTTTATGCTAAACATTCTTTTCTTTAACATTTCTGTAGCCAAGCAAACACTCACCAAAAAAAATCTATCTATCTATCTGCTCTTTTCTGGATAATTTTGAGTTGTACAGAGACAAAAAAGCAAAGCAAAAAAGATCTTGTGTTTATTTTCAAAGGGTATTTCCCAGGGGCTCCTTTTGCTTTCTCCAACTGGCTTCTGCTACATGTGCCAGTTTTCTCTGTGATGAAAAAAAGCATAATCAAATACTCGTTTCTCCAAAGTGAGAAGTCATATCTGTTTTGTCTGGCGTATCATCTTCAGTAGCACAGCTTCAGAGGATAAATTTCTTCCTAATCACTGTTTCACAGTTCACTATTTCACTTTTCACAGTGATTATCCTTAATGAAAGGATCAGTAGCGTAATCACAGTGATGTAAACATGTTTCAGAAGCTTTTACATGACCTTCTGAATTTTACATGCAGCACACTTCTTGATGGAAGCCTTTCAAAGTCACTAGTTACTGAAGGAAAAAACAAACCCTTGCCAGGGTGTTGTAAAAAATCCTTTCTAATTAGGAATTTGTTGTTGTTTTGATGGAAGATAGTCTATTGCCCAAGACAGAAAGACTTACACCCGGGCTGATTAATTGATTGCCAAACTGATTTAATAGCATGGAGTGTTTTTGTGGCTGAGGGAGGTCAAAACTGCTTGAACTGGTCGTAAAGATAGAAAGAGCTCAGTATGTAAAACTACAGGAGAAGGCTGTTGCCATTGTCTTCATTTGGGGATAAGGAAATCTACAGGTTGAAGAAAATGGATGTATTGTGAAGGGAGCTGACAAAAACAAAAGTTCCACTCAGCAGTTATCCAAAATACTTGTAATCGCCTCTGAGCTTCTGATTAAAGGTATTTTAAAAAGTTGAGCTGAAATTTTTTCTTGTCAGAATCTGATCTGGGAGAGCTTACAATGAGTTGGGGACTCTTGGGGAGTGAGATTAAAAGTATAAAGCAGACACAGAAAATAGTGTGGATTCAACCAAAATGATAATTTGTTTGGGTCATGCAAGGGAAATAAAGTATTTTGTTTATAGAGTATTAAAAAATTTCATTTTAATACACTGAATAGCAATTTTTGGTCTCGTATTCCATTTTAATGGACTGATCCAATTTGCAAAAAAAGAGGATGTTGAAATAGTCTTTTCCATAGAGCTGAAATTCCTTTTCCTGACTAACTTTAATGCTTTTTTACACCTGATTTTTTTATTAGTTGACTGAATCAATTTACAATCAGTGTTTTTGTAAAACACAAAAAAAATTGGTCCTGTAATAAAAAGGTCTGTCAAGCCTTGCTGATGAATTTTGGTAACTGATCTCATTATTTGACCCTGAGCAAGAAGTTTCACTTTCTTGTCTCTCATTTTTCTCCTGCCCTTAGATGTTTGGTCGAGTAAGAACTTAGATTATTTTGAGACAGCTTTTTATTGTCAATAGAGTACATTATTAAGTGTCAATAGAATGCATCAAAATCTTTTTGGCAGAGTTGTAGTGCAAATGATAATTGACAGCAATAAAACCAGAGTTGCCATAGGACGGAACAGAAAAGGAAGAAATCAGCATTTTTGTTTAAGCTGTCTTACAGAATTTGGTAGAGGGTGGTAGCTTTTCTGTAGAACTCTGAGAAAGGAAATCAGCTTTTTTTCCCCAGGAAGTTCTATAGTTTTCACACTGAGTTTTACAGAACCTGTTTAATTTATGTAGTTCTACAAGGCCATCAATGTGGTCCTGAGGTGGTACAAGGCGCTGTACACCATATACATTCCTGAAAAGCTTTTCTGCGTAGGGTCACTACTCAGAATGACTGTAAGGTATAATAATCTGACTGTCTACGTGCAATTGGCATTTATCAAGAGACAAAAATGTCAGTCGTTTGCTTTGTTCTTAGTGTGCCTTTGGTGGAGTGACCTTTGAGGCCGACTGCTCTGACTGAGAGGTTATTTCATAAATACTCCCCCACGCTAAGCGCATATTTATTTAGGTATTTTATGGTCTTCAGATGTTTCACTTCTGTTCAGGTGCCTATAGAAGAGTTGCCGACATACATATGAGGATTTCATCTATACCGATAAGCTTTCAGCAGCCAATTTTAAAAATTAATTTCTGATTGTATTTGAAACTGAATGTCAACATGGTTAATTAATGGCAGTAGCCATCAGACTATGATGTAAGCGGAATAATAGACAATTAAAGATATTCAATGAGCAGTACTTCACTTCCATGGATTTCTCACCAAAGCAGAGGCTTTGAATGAATAATTTCATCCCTGAGTTGTACACTAGCATATAATCTTGTATCTATTGAATCCGTTGCTTCAATGATCTTCAGATGAAGTAAAATGCAGAACTAAATGAAAGCAATATGCAATTGGAGCAATGAAGCAAAGATGAAAAATTGTGTGGTTAAATCATGTTGTAAGAATTTAGTACTGAAGTCCTTGATCATAAGATGAGCAATAACTATATTCAGAAGAGAGTCTGCAAAACCAACAGGAGTTGCAGTAGAACAACACAATAGGATTTACAGAGCATGATGTCAAAAGTGGGCAAGAACTGAAAGGCGCTTGGTAAAGAATTCCTTTTTTTCCTAATAGAATTAAGCCTTTGGAAACTTCAAACAGGTCCTAGTGGCAGTGCCATGCTAGAATTCAGAAATCCAAATCACTGAACTTTTTTTTGAAACTGTTACCCACCACTCAGAACCAAACTTCAATAGATCAACACAACTGACAAGGGAATGTAAGGATCTATAGTTGAATTATTTTGAGGATATTTTAACTTTATGTTGATTGCCAGCAGTGGTCACCAAAATCAAATTGTGCTGTATTTACATACCCAGTCAGCAAAATGCAGTCTTAGCTTCCTAGGTTTCTGCTAGCCTTCACAGCTTATTCATTTGCTTCTAGGCACATCCCACCTTCTTCTGATCCCATGTTATCTCCTTTGTAAGCAGAGACAGAGCAGAAAATGGAAGCCCCAGTGAGGCCAGTAGCAAAACTGAAAGCTGCTTTTAAAAAGGTCCTTACTTGATCACTAGATTTCTTGATTTTTTTTTACAGCTGCATAAGTACATATTAACGTAACAGCTGATTTGCTCCTTCTGGTGCTGAATGAATCAACAAAGATTCTGTCTAATGAACTTTGATCAAATACAGGGACGCTTATACCTCCTTGTTGCCTACTGAAAATATTTTCAGGGTCCTGTATTTAATTACATGTCCACACACTTTCATTGTCCCTGTCATCCTAATGTGACTCCAAACTGCAGAAAGTCTTATATGCGCCTCACATTGCTATTTAAAATTAAACTAGGGACCTGAACACATAGTACAGGGAAAAGTCCTGATGTCTACAATCACAGAACATCATGAAAGCTGTTAATAGAGTTGCAGGTAGACTTATGATACCTCCAATGGGCCTAGAGTTGTATGTTCAACTACCATAAGCTGAACAATGCAACTACAAAAATCTGAGGAGAGAAGTAGGGAGGAGGAGGGATAAAAATCATTGCCATGTTATTCTCTTTCTTCCTATTCCTTCCAAGACACCCATCTTGCCAATGAAACGCAGGCGGGTGTGCATGTAAGACTGTGCTTGCTTCAGCAAAGCCCTGTGTGGGTGAAGGAGCCTGCTTCCACATTGCAGCTAGCACTTTGGCAGCTTACGGCTTATTTTCTTGCTGCTCAGAAGCTTCCTGTTACATATCTCCTAACAGCCTGTGCCCTTCTTCTGTCTCTTCTTTTCTCTCCCTTTTCCTTGCCCTCAGAGAAGAAGGCATTCTTGTCCAAGCAGCATTTTGCTCACTCTCCTGTGCTGCCTCCCTTCTCTCACAGGCCTGGTGAGATCCACGGGCATGTTTGGGCCGACCCTGGGCTTCCTGCTTGGATCTTTCTGTGCCAGCCTCTGGGTTGACATTGGCATTGTGGATATCGGTAAGACACCAGGGGTAGTGCATTAACTGAGAAGATGGTGGTACATAGGAACCTACATGCCAAGAAGCACCTTCCCAGCTCACTATCCCAAAAAGAGAGACTGTCTAGACAGTTTTTCCTACTGAAAATCTGGTGTTATTTACATTTTAATATCTGCAGCATAATAGTGTGACTGGAATATCTTTTGATGCAAGACCTCTACCCCCACTGCAGAAAATTTTTGTACCTTTTTACGTTTGTGTACGCACTTGTTACACCCTCACTGGGCAGCTGAGAACAAATGAGCAAATGAAAGGACAGCCCCATGGTGAGGGAACAATGAAAGGCCTTTGCTCATGAACACTTTCAACACTTGGCAAAAATTGCCTTCTTTTATTTTAAAAGTATGTAGCAAAGATTCATATGAAAACTCATTTCATTGTTCAAATCACTTTCAAGTCTCTAATCCTAGGGAAAATTTGAGGAACTTCAAGGAAAAACTGTTGAGTTTGGGGATGGAGGAAGGAGGGGACAGTGGGAAATTGAGAAAGGGAAGTTCATTTTGGGTAGTGAAGGGCCCTCTTGCTGTCATTCCCACAGAAAGTTTTGGAAGATTGTGGCCAGGAAATGCCATCATGGGTCTAAATGGAGACATCTATTTTTGACTACATGAGATAGATTTGATACAAGCTGCATTTCAGTTCTTCATATGAAACATAAATTGTTTCTGTTCTGGTCTTTAAATAATATATATAAGGATACCTATAGTAAGTTTAACTGTTCTGCATGATATTTAACATAGTTTCCTGCCTTTCTGTATTTTATAGATGCCATCAGCATAAATCCTAAGGATACCCGTTGGGTTGGTGCCTGGTGGCTTGGATTGCTTATCTGTGGAGCAGTCAACTTCATTGCTTCATTGCCTTTCTGGTTTTTGCCTTACTCCTTACCAAAAGAAGGAGAGAATGAAAACCTGAAGAGTGGTCATTTTCCTGTTCAAGGAGATCACTGTAAAATAAACCCACCAGCTCACCCACAGTTAAAGTTCTCAGAGGCAGTAAAAGGTGAAAGATTATTGCCCAGGATTTTGCATGTGAATTCTCTCTTATGGGCTCATTCTGAGCTGAGCATGGATTTGCACAACCCTCAGAGAAGTGCACTTTTCTGCAGTGCAAATAATGGGCAAAAATGCTCTCTTTAATTTATAGTATTATAATTACATGCTAACGGTGTGTTTCAGTCCTCTCGTTATGTCAGACAGCTAGAAAAAGCTCATACTGTTGCTTTGAGCGTCAGAGATTCTCAGTTCAACATGGTAGTTCTTACATGATGTATTACAGCTATAATCCTATGATTATGAAGGAAGAGGGAGGAAAACATCCCATCCCTCATTAATGACCAATCCACAGCTGGTGGGTTACTGTTTCACTGAGGCCAACATATGGGAGGGAAACATGGGGCTATGTACTACATTAACTGTTAGAGGGATTTCACTGTATTCATAGCTCCTGTGTAAGACCTCAGTGATGAGCTATTAGAGCTATTAACCTCGTATAGGCAATTATCAGACCCAATTACCCATTGCTGGACTACCACAAGGATTTTATTCGTATGTATGTATGCATGTGCACTCCTTAGTAGCTATAGCAGATGTGTTTTCAACTCTCATGCTTTAGGGAAGTGTTCCAACAGCCAGACTACAAGCTAAATGCAGGTTTTTGTCTTCTTTTTAATTTAATGGACTTAGATACTCTAACCAAGGGTCTTAGAAAGGTTGCAGCCTTTTGCTGGGTCATGTGCGCCTTTCTCTGAATATGACTCGTGGGGATCTCATGTGGTTTGTGAAGGCTCCTGCTTTAGGCACCAAACTTTTCACTTGGTACATCATAGAGAGTCTTAATGCTCCTCTAAGGATCCTCTCCTGTACAGGCATTGAGAATCAATGTTGCAAACCTTAGTGCCTTTGATGAATAGTCCTGTGTCACACAAGATAATCTAGGATGAACTAGATTAACCCACTGTGCCATTCAGCCTTGCTGCTTCTGTGAGTCATGTGTTGGCAATGAGGAAAACTCTCACTTGAGCGAGCGTATGTTTTGATAGGCAAAGGTATTATAACCTGCAATACAGCCAGTAATTAAATCAAACTCAGTTTTATTATCTAAAGGATGTCAAAACAACTCTTCTCTGTGTTTAGCAGGGTGTACAGCATATACCTCTCCATTGCAGATTTCTTCCCAGCTCTGAAGAAGCTGTTTGGAAATCCAGTTTTCCTGGTGTTCATCTTCCTCACTATTCTGCAGTACAATTCTCTTGTTGGGTTGATAACCTATGAGACAAAGTTTATGGAGCAGCAATTTAACGTATCAGTGGCAAGAGCCATCTTTCTAATCGGTAGGTACCTGTCCTCCTTTTAAATAAAAAGGAAGCTTTTCTTTGTTATTTTGCCTTCCTTTTTAGGAGGAGCTTCTGTGAACTTTTTTTGATTTTTTTTAAAAAAAGTAGTGTTTTTCTGATTTTCCTACCATATTTTGAAAATGGATGTCCATTTTAGTGTTAATTTTCATGGTGTTCCTTATTCAGAGAGCTAGAGGTTTCTTAGAACTGGGTAGATTATTTTTGGCTGAAGTTTTTTTCAGAGTGAGATTTCGGTTATGAATGTGTCTGCTTTTGTGAAAAAAAAAAAACCCCACATGTAAACTGCAACTAAGTGACAAATAAAAGAAAAAAAAATTTAGGAAATGTCTAATGAATGTATCATTTTTCTTTTCTGAATAACGACTCAGTATAAATGTTCTTCCATTTTGAGTACAATGATACAAATTTTATAAGCAGTAAGAAAGCAAAATATAAAATTTTGAGTAATCTCATTCAGCTCAAAGCTCTTTTTCTATTTGCCAGTTCCCTCAAAAATAAGTTCTTTGTAATGTTCTACAAAAAGAAAATACTGATATTGTATTAATCTTACAGCGATTAATATTGTCTCATAACCTGGCAAGAAAACCAGGGTGTTTGAGGTCATTGAAGAATCGATATTCCATTACTTTAATCTGAAGGTGCTTTGGTGTGGTTCAGGTATAAATATGGAAAGAACTTTCTTTTTCCCATCTTATTTTTGGATGCACGGAAAGTTTTACAAAAACATGACCAAAACCCTGAACCGAACAAAAAAAGACACAGAGAAAGGCAAACCGCTCACAATAAAACCTTGTAAAAGCTCTCTATCTAGCATGCAAATATCAGGGCTGGAGTTTGCGAAATGCTGAACAGATTAAATCTAAATGCAAATCTTTCCATGATTCACTTTCAGAGCAAAATGGAATCCAATGCAAACCCAGATGCTGATTCCTTTCAGTTTCTGGTTTGGAGATTATTTTTTTTTTGGTAACTTTCAGAAAATCTGAAGTTTTATTTTAGATGAAGAAGTGCCCATGATCTAAGACATTTATCTCATTTACTTCAGTTTCTAACAGGCACCTGTACAAGTTTTATTGTATCACTGTACATACAAACAAAGGTATAGTAAAAAGGCAGGGAATATTGCAGAACTAAATTTTTTAAAGTCATAACATGACTTGAAAGAAAATGAGAAAGTAAGCAAAATTACTTAAAGGTAATAAAAAGCCTTGAAACCTCAAGGGATCAGTCCAAAACCAGGTCATTATCTGATATTTTGGAAACTACTAGAACCAGATATTTATTCTAAAAAGGTTCGATGCAAGTGACAGCAGGTAACATTTTTATTACCTTCTATTTGCAGGTGTGATACTTTTACCCATCACAATCCTGGGGATGTTTCTAGGAGGCTTTCTGATCAAGAAATTCAAACTTCACATAACTGAAATGGCAAAGTTTGCATGCATCACCTTTATAGTAGCGTACTTGTTAAACCTCTTGTACTTTACATGCAGTTGCGAGGTGCTCCAGGTGGCTGGTTTGACAGCACCCTACTCCGGGTTTGTATCCTCTTGTATTTGCATCGATCATGTCATTTGTCATGGTTGCTTCCTGCCCTGTGCAGAAGACGGTGCATGTACCTGTAGTCCTGTACTCTCACAAACTAATCTGGGTTTGTAATCTCATCTGGGCTACAATGTCTAGGAAACATTTTGATATGAATTTGGATGAGTTCTGAAATGTCTTCTCTGTTGATTTACTGTAGCATATTACTATATCCTTTTGCTTTAAAAAAAAAAAGGGTCTGTTTAAAGACAATAAATTTTTGTGGAAATTCACCTGTATTAGGTCATCTGCTAGTGTCAATCAGTGTGGTCTCAACTACAGAGGAGCTACTGTGATTATATCATTGTACTGCTCCCTTGGTGGTGATTCACACAAGAAAATCCTAGGTTGTGGGATAGACTTGTGAGGCTGAAATGATGCCTAGTGTTGGGAATGAGCAGAATATCCTGATTTTGTTTTTCAAATTTCACTGAAACCGGAAATTTGTATTTCTAAAATGTTTATTGCTGGATATTGACAATATACCTCTGTACTCTGGCAAATTGCTAATTAAGATGAAATTTATCACAAGCGAATTAGATTTTTATATTCTATTTCAAAGCTGTAATTTAAAGCTGGTCTCCTCCTACCATGCAGGGAGTAGGATGTAAAAGAAGTTTTGAACGTGGCTTCCCCATATACCCCCAATGGCTTTGCCTCTAGAAGGGACCATCATCTAGATCAGTAGTTTTCAACCTGCACGGGGCGTTACCAGCCTCCCTTGGTACCTGGAGCCACTGACCTGCCTGCGTTCCTTTTCTCAGCTGGGAAGTACAAAGTGGTCATGTAAGGAGTGTATGCTGCCCAACAGACAACTCTCCCTCCCTTACCATGACCATGGTCATGCTTTCTTGAGAACATTTTGCTGACTCTAGCATCCTGCCACAATTGCCCACTGTTTAAATTTAGCTCAGTCCGGTCCAACAAATTTCAAGGGATTTTGAAGGATTAAACTGAATCCAGCAGGGCTTGCTAGATTTTTAATTCAGACAGAAAATCAGTCCTGTTGTTTTTAAACTAAGCCTGTGTTCAGGAAAATATCTAAGTTGTCTTGGCAAACCTGACACCCAGTTCAACTCTGAGGTTTGTTACATAAAAGATGTCAGAAGCTTGCGCAGTGGAAATAACTCTGGTTGAGGGCAACATCTGATATTGTAGAGTCAATTAAAAATAAGCAGAAATTTCAAGACAGCAAATACTGAAAGAGAAATTACATCTTCTCTGGGAGAATTGAGACTGGAGCATTTAGCATGTGCTAGGATTGTTCTGGTTAAGTGACTCACATATTGTTTTGCCCATTTAACAATTTGTAGTTTGAGGATGAGCAGCAGACTAATGAGGGCTAACCTCCCCAGATATTTTCCCTTCTAAAATATTTAGGAGAAATGTATCTGCCTTGAGGTATGTTTTTAATTGAGGGGTAAGGAGGAGGAAAAGACAAATTTTGAACACATTTTTGTTTATATTGTAAATGACTTCAAAGTGGCAGTGATTTGTAGATGGTGCACTCCTAACATTTTCTGAAAATTGAGCTCTGCTACTATGTCCTCAGAGTTGTTGGCCACTTTTTAAATTCTCAATTCTAGTTGTCATACACTTAGTTTAAATCCTTGGGGCCTGATTTTGAGGTTTCTTATAGAAATATTGGCAAAAGTAGAAGCTATGAAAGTCCATGGTAATATGCAACAAGAAAAGAGATCTGATAAGAAATGGGACTCAAGCCTGTCCTAGGTGCAGGGCTGCTGCTGCTGCTGAATAGAGTCAGAGCTGAGACAGAACGAGCATTTCTCACTCAGACTCATGCAACTTTCATTGCCACTAACCCACTCTGATCCAGTGAAAAAAGTGTCAAGGACATTTTGCTGCTGTAGTTTTAAGTATTTTTATATCACCACTTCTAGCACCTAGATATGGTATGATATCTACTGCTAAGGAAAAGCAGGCCAGTCTACAGGTGGTAAGAGATCCTAGGTATGATTTTTCTTTTCCTTGGGTTGAGCTTTCAAATGAAAAAGTAATACCAAATATTCCCTCCCAGCCAAGGATACTTAGTTTGCAAGTTCCAGGCCTTTACAGCAACAATCCATCAAAATGTTAATGCTTGATGAAAAATCTCAAGAGAGCTTTGGTTTAGTTGAAATTAGCTTAGTCTCCATATGACAACTTCACAGTCCATATCTGTCCATGTTGATTACTTCACTTTCTCCATGTTTTTCCTGCCTACTCCCTGATATTTTGTTTGACTATATAATTTGTCTAAATATTTATTTCTTCCTGTTTTTTTCCAGATTAAAGCATCTTTCCTCCCCCAAAAACAGCTTAATGGCCAGTTGCAATGTTGACTGCAGCTGCAAGCTGGATCAGTGGGACCCTGTATGTGGGGATGATGGGATCACTTACATGACAGCCTGCTTTGCGGGATGTAAATCGTCAACGGGGATGGGAAAGAATATGGTAAATACATAGGTGGATAGATGATTATTTAGTAAGGTCTGTTGTAACAGGACAAGTAGTAAGGGTTTTAAACTAAAAGAGGGTAGACTCAGACTAGATATAAGGAAGAATTTTTTTACAATGAGGGTGGTGCAACACTGGAACAAGTTCTTCAGAGAGGTGGTAGATGCCCCATCCCCGGAAACATTCAAGGTCAGGTTGGACGGGGCTCTGAGCAACCTGATCTAGTTGAGGATGTCCCTGATCACTGCAGGGAGGGGGTGGTCTAGATGGTCTTTAAATGTCCCTTCCAACCCAAACTACTCTATGATTCTATGATTCTAGATACAGCTAGATTTCTCCATCAATTTTTTGGCTTTGTGATTAAGAAATCCTGGAGATACAAATGTCCATTCTGTATAGTTTAACCTTGTAGAAACTGAGTGAGTGCAAGGTTGCAGGGAAGGTTTTAAAAAATTGGGGTGAGATAAGCGAGCTATTTAGGAAAGGCAGAATAGCATTGACTGAACTTGCATTTCTTGAATGCTCTTATTTCAATTTTTTAAAACTCATTTTCTACTCAGCAAGATGACCATAAATTTGGCTTTAAGTTTCTCAGTAGATCTCTTACTGTGTAGTTACAACACAGCTAAGAGGGATTTGCTCTAGAAGACCTTTACTAGTAAAGTAGTAAAATCCTGTGGTGTCAACTCATGTGCAGCAGAACTGTATAAAATTGTGAGTGCTGGTTTCACAAACTGTTGCAGATCATATTGGAATTGCCTGCTTTCCTGAGCTGCCATAGCTCAGGAAAGCAAGTCATAACACTAAATTGTACAGCCAAGTGGTCCCATAAGTGTACAGCTGGCCATTTTGTTCAGTATATCAGCAGCAAAGCGGTTTCTAGGACCTCAAACAATCCTACCTTGGCAAGACCATTAAAAATGCAGAAGCAGAGTTGTCTTAATGTAACAATACTGAAAAAGACAAGCAATATTTTCAGGCTTATATCCATATCCCAGCAATATTCTCTTGCTTAACTTCAGGGAAATTTGCTTTCAAACATATATCTCCTGCTAACTTCAAAGGCTATGAAACAACCCACTCTCAATCCAGCACAAAATGCTGTTTTAAATACATAACGATAGATATGCATAATTGCATTGTTGGGTCCACATCTATATTTTTGTTGTTACTGCTCTGCTTCATAGGATTCCTGAGCTGAATGGTTGGATAGCAGATCACATCTAAATTTTAGAGCTTTGACCCATTTTAAGCATAGACAGAGCACCTTCTGTCCTAGCAGTGGCATGGCTGAAACTAGAGTCACAGTTGCTTTGTATCTCTGGAGCAGCTCAGAGTGGCTGGCGCATGCCAATGAACTTGGCCATCAGTCTGCAAAGATGATTAGACAGGTTCTTTCAGTGTAAACAACAGGCTGCCTGTTATGGGGAGTGAAAAATCTAGCTACTAAAATAGCTTTGTGCCACTGAATTCTGATTAAATAAAATCTTCTCATCTTCTCCTTTCAGGTGTTTCACAATTGCAGCTGTGTGGAAGGACAAGGGCATGGGCTTGTCAATTCCTCTGCAGTTTTGGGACAATGCCAAAGAGAAAGCTGTACCAAAGCATTTCCCTATTTCTTAGCATTACAGAGTGCATGTGCATTTATTTTAGCCTTAGGAGGCACTCCTACGTACATGATTATGTTTAGGTGAAATACTTTACCTTACCTTGACCATAAAGCCTGGGGAGAGAGAGAGAGAATATGATATCTGTTATTTCATTCCTATTGCGACGAATGGAGTGCTGATCAAACTGGGGCCCTGAATCTTTGCCTGTACTCTGAAATCCAGCTCTTTTCAAAGGCAGAGCAGAACGCCTGTCCACCAATTTAATTCCAATGTAAAGCCGAGTAGATGCTTTGGTGATTAAATGGGTGGGACTTATGTTGATCCTGAACATTAGTTTTCACTTCCAATGACAGGGATGTTTTTAACAGAGCAATGAACTTGAAATAAGATGCGGTGCTAAGCCATATCCAAGGTGACTATGCTGTTCACATTAATCAGGAGAAAAACATACACCTTTGTTCAGCCTTGTTGCCTCACAATGTTTTTTGTGTTGTGAGAAATCTGATGCTCCCATTTTTTGTCAAGCTAGTATAAACAGAACTATGTCAGCAGCAATATTTATTTTTTTTCCTTCAGTTGTAAAGCAGGGCTGCTATTTTACACTCAGAAGAAAAGATAATACTCTGTGCCTTTTTCATGGAAGATTCTTTCCTCTCGCGCTCGTGGGTGAATTGCAATCTTCAGCAGTCAGTGCACATGACTAGATAACTCTGTTGGCTAAGCTGCTAATTCTTCTGCCATATTTCTAAGTGCAGCTGTTCTTACTGCGTGGCTGGATTATGGACAGGGTTAACTTTGCTAGGCAGTTTTCAGAACACTAATGTGTATAATGAAAAGCCTTTCATGTTAATGCTGAAGAGACTATGTACTGATGTATAAACTCCAGTTCAGGAAACAGGCTGGCCAAAGCAACTCTCCCTCCTGCCCCTGTGCCAGCTCAGTACTCCCCTCTGCTTTTTGTCAATGCTTCCAGCTTGTCCAATGGGCACAGGCTATTTCTCCACTGGTAGGAATGAGGTGCTTTTGTAGCCAGGTAACTCACGTTTGCTGTCCGTCTCTCTGTAAGATGCTAGAGGCAGAGGTGGGTTTTACCTGCATGTAGCTAGCAAAGAGTACACACCCTTGATCCCTCTGTTCACCACTGTTCAATACAGCCCCTTAAAGCAAGGCAGCTTCTTGGAGCTCAACTTATGGACATGAACTGCCTACTTTGAGCTGGTTCATTTTAATTTTCCTGTGCATCCTCTCCCAAAAGTATTTACAATCTGTTCTCCTTGGGTTCAAGATCAGTTTCTGTAGATTCTCCCAGTTATTTCAATGAGAGTTCATCCACTAAAGTCAATGGAAGGAGGTTCTACATCTGACCTTCAACTTTGGGGAATATTTTCAACTAGGGTTTGAGTAAGCTATGCTAGGTAAGCCACAGAACTCTTGTAATGGGGCACGTGCAGGTGTTCATAATGTGACTATAGCTACATTATTCTATTGTTCCCCAAAACATTGTAATATTTTTGTTTCCTTTCTAGATCTGTTTCACCAGACCTGAAATCCTTTGCTGTTGGGATTGAAACTTTAGGTGGCAGAGTACTAGGTAAAACTTCATTTCTTTGTGGGATTCAAGTACGTAGTCAGAGATAAATCAAAGCTTGTCAGTGTAATGTCCCTGCTCCAGATGAGAACAAAAGAAATTTTCCAAAATTTTTCTTTGTAAGCAGACTGTGCATTTCAAAAGGTTTAGAGGAGCTTGCTACATGTTTCCCGGTATGTAATTACATGTTATGATTATCTCTTCAGAATTTTTCCTATGCAGCAAAGGAATCAGGCAAAGGAAGGAAATTTCATTGTAGTTGTGGGGGTATTTTTGATTCACGGACAAAACTACCTGAGCTTGATCAATCTGGATATCCTTAACACCCATGCTTCCTTTTGCTGATGATTTTTCACTTAAAGCTACCGTGTACTCTGCCTATTATTTTCCTTCTTGTGTTTATTTGCAATAAATAATTTTCAACTCTTCAGACGTATAGTCTGCCCTGCCTCTATCAAACCTTGCCTTATCTTCAGTTGTTTGCTGATTTTTGAAATCTTCCCCATGCAGATAAGCCCAAGTAGTCATCGGATCTCTCTCCTAATCTCCATATTTTAGCTGAATGCTGCAGAGAACCAATCCTGTGCTTTTATGAAATAGTTTTCTTCACAAAACTGCACATTATCCCTGAAGTAGCTTATTGGTTATGTTAAAGCATCATTATGACTGTCAAAAAGGCTTTCTTTCAGTACTATATAAGTAATACACTTATTACCTACTTGGTTTTGATTAAGTGCTTTATTTCAGCCCTTTGCACTCAACTAACCATTTTTAATGGCAAACTGTTGTGTAATACCTGAACAGATACATTTATATACTTGAATATTAATATCATGGCACATAATTCCATGCCGGGGACTGAAAAAGAAATGTTGTTTATATTATTTCTTTAAAGAACAGAAGGTATAATTCTAATAAAAGTGCCATTAAAGTAGAATTACTAACATTTCCCTTGCTGAATATAATAATGTTATAATCTTCCATCCTTTCAACTCCCTTTAGGTACTTAAGTATTTTCACAAATCTTGGAATGTCAAAGCTTGAGATGGATGTTTAGTCCCATTTTATGCAACCATAATTCAGAAACCTTTAATTTCCTCATTTCTTTACCATGATGTTAAATGCTGAGATCTTCATGTCTGAGATCATGTAATAAGAATTTTCTTTGCAGGAGGACTCCCAGCCCCTATTTATTTTGGTGCCTTGATAGATGAGACTTGCTTGAAATGGGGGACAAAAGACTGTGGTGGATCTGGATCTTGCCGAGTATATGACACGAAAGCATTCAGGTAAGCTGAAATCTTCGGTAAGGGGTTTGGGAATTTGGCTTCTGAGGCAGCTTTGAGCACCAAGGACGAAAGTATATTTTTCCCATGTCAATTGTCAATAGACTGGTTAGGATACCAAGACAACAAAATCTTCTTATTTTGACTAGGCCTTAATAGATCAAATAAGCCAAATAATTTTGATTCAAACTGACATATGACACTGCAGTATACTGCTTTACATCACCAGAATGTGTTCCTTTATTGAAACCTTAGTGCACTGAATAACTCTGTGACGCTTTGGCTTTGTGGGAGACTGAAAAGACGTGGAGTAAGTGTAGCACTGAAGATGCTCTTCCTCATCCCTTATTTTTCTTCTTCCTAATATATAAGACACCTCACAAAATCCGCTTGGAGAGGGGACCCAAATGACTGCATGGAGAGCTGTGGCCAGGAGCACCGAGTGCTGCCAGCGAGGGGCTGGGGGAAGGCAAAAAGCCCCAGCTGGTGCAGCTCCTCCTGTCCCAGCCCTAAAAAATAATCTGCTGAATCAAGTACTCTTCATCCAGAAGGTGCTTCTGCTAGCAGTATAGGACCTGCTTAGAACCTGCTTGGGGCTGAATATCATTAGATTTATTGCTTTCTGTCTTATTTCTCAAAATGTGGAGCAATACCTGTCTGAGAATAGGTGGTTTTACCAAGTTGTGTTTGATATCTTTCTTGGTTCCACTCAGAACTGGTAAGCTTTATTAATACAAACATATTTTTTCTATTTTTTTTTCCTAGAAATGTCTATCTTGGCCTCATTGCAGGACTACGGGCAGGATGCTGTCTCTTATACGTAGTGCTCTCTGTTTTAATAACGAAACGCTTCAAACCAGATGGCAAAGAGGTGACAGATATCAAAAATACAGAAAGATCAACCAGCAAAGAACCAGCTACTGCCAACAAAAGAGAAATTCTTCCTGGTGCAAGAACCTCAGAGGAGAGTGAGGAAACTTCTATGTAAAAACGAAAAAAGGTTTTTTCATAACTGGCTATGCTTCAGTTTTTCTAAGCACAACAGGAGTCTAATTACTGACTTTAACAGCTAGGTTACATTTTGGAGGTTCAAAAAATATCTTTGAAACATTGACTTTTAATTTGCTTTACCTAATCCTCTTCCTCTTCTCATCTGAAACAATACAAAATTTTGGAGAACTCTCCCATTCTCTTGCTCTCAGTCCCTTTCTAGACCAACTGTAGGACTAGCCAAAATTTTTCAAGTGTCATAAATTTGATTTTGATTGAAAAATTAAAAAGAAGAAATCCACAATAATCTTCTTTTACATTTTTCACCAACTCTATTTCAAGTCCTCTTGCTCTGTATTTAGTCCTGCAGCTCTAAACAGCCAAGTTATATTTGCCCAGTTGCTCTGATGGCCTTTGCTGTGTGGTTTGTGACCAGAGCTGTTTGTTCCAGACTGGGTCTTATGACCCATGATTAGGTGAGAGTCCCAGGGCTGTCAGTGAGTGCCCTCTGAACAAGAATTGCACAACTCTGAGGTTTGGCTTGAACACATTAAAAAACCAAAATAGAATGCAAACAAAAGAAAGTGGTGCATTAATTTTGCAGCACATCTCTGTATTGGGTTTGAGTAAAATTACTGTGAACTGATGCAATAAAGTGATAGGTGTTTAAGTTTCTTTGATTTTTTTTATGTTCATGTGGCGGGGGGAATTTTTATCCTGACGACCACTGCGTTTGTACCACATGTATATAGATTTGCTTCCTTGTTTAAGGAACCTCCAGTAAGCCTTGAAATATAATACGGAAAGCTTGCAAATTCACAAACAGCCTAGTCCAGAGAGAAACTTTAATAAAGGATGCTTCCAACAGTCATTACTGGGAAAAAAAATCTCTAAATGTACTTGAAGTGTGATATTTTATTGATAGCCCTCATGGTATACCTTCGCAATGGGAGCAAACATTTCTAGTAAGATCCCTGTAGGTTTTGCCTCTGTCATCACAGCCATTTCGCTTCCTTTTTCTCTGCTCCCTGCAGTCCTGTGCACAAACCTAAAACTAGGCAGCAAGCTTTCTTTCCTAATTTTAAACTTCCTTGGGATCTAGAATAACAGGTCACTAATATAAAGAAAATCTACAACACTTTATCTGAGAAAGTAGAAGATCAGAGTGCTAAAGAGAGTGACTCTGCATATTAAATGATCTTCTGACCTTTCTTCTACCATCTGGCCCATGTAAGTCCAAGAACAGGAGTGGGAAAAGGGTTGATGTGGTACTCAGTGAAAGGAAGTTCTGCATATCCTGGCCTTGGGGGTGGAGTTGTTCACATTTCATTGCTTAAAGACAATGACCAGCACATTTAGATGTTGTCTTTTATAACCACAGCTCTGATTATAAACTGCCAGCAGATACGGAGAAGCAGTGTGTGTGATAAGGGAATAGGAATAAAAGCTTCTTTAGTACAGATAATATCAATGTTGCAGCTAGGTCTGGAAATAATTAAAGAAAAATCCGTGTTCCAGAAACCCCAGAAATTTTACACAGAGAAAAATCATGGTTTGTGTTTCTCTTTCTGCAAACAGTGTTTTAACATTGAATAAATATATTGGCGGTTCTAGAAACACTCCTAATCTGTGCCAGACAAATAAACTCAGGTGGCTCATACTGACAAAATTTCCCTTTTACTTCTGTTGTTCGGGTATTTATTTTTGTACATTTTTTTTTTTTTATGTTACAGGTTTTTTGATGAGATCTTTTGCACATATTGCTTGATTTTCCCAGGAGGTAATGTTTTATCAAAAGTGCATCGATAATTGGTATCAGACTAGAAATGAGACTTTGGTCAGATCTGATGATGTTTACCCCAGGTGTTTACCCCAGATGCAACTTCGTAAAGCGAGCTTTTTGTGACAAATAAGACTTAACATCATTCTTCATAACAGTCCCGAATTGATAATAGCCTAAGTGCTGCCACAGGTGGTATTAAATGAGCCTCTGGCTCAGTGTACTCCCAGCTCCAAGGCTGTATCACTTGCCTATGTTTTCAATGTGCACTGTTTCTTGTGTGCAAGTCTAAGCCCTCTCCTGTGAACAGCAGGTAGTAGTTTGTTCAAGGGAATAATTTGTTCTTCAACATGCACTCCCATAGCACAGAATATACAAAATATTAAATAGGTGGTCAACTGAGTGGCGTTTTTCAGAAGTTTTTTATCCCTTTGCCTCTCACAACAGAGAATAAGTAAGAATATTCCCCCTTTTAATTCCTTCTGCTCCAAAGGCAAGATTTCATCAAACAGGGAGGCAGAGAGGCCCCTGGGACTTTGATTTAATTGCAAAGCCCCGATACTGATTCTAGGATCAAAACTGGTATCTTTGTCCTGTGTGACAGCTGTGTCAACATATTCAGAGCTAGCTCTGACATGTCTGAGCTCCATCACTGGGAAGATCCTCCAGGAAGGAAGAGAAACCTGTTGTATTCTAAGGTGGTAAGAGAAATTGTTAACCAGGAAGGCTATTTTTGGAGGCAAATTTGCAACTACACCAAGTCACACATGTTTTTTAATAAAGACGATAAACTGAGCAATTTAAGGATCATTACAGACAACTTGGTGGGCCATAAATCATGGCAATTCCACTGAAAAAGACATAGTGAAACTGGTGAATTTTTATCACGCTGGGGAGGGGTGTTTAAGGGCATGAGCCTTGTATTTACCCAACTCGTTTGAGGCTATCAAAAAGCCCTTTAATGGCATTATCAAAGTCCTTCTGTCAGAATAACTACGGAAGACAGAACCTTATTTCAGAAGACAGTGCAGTTATTTGGCATTTCTTAGCTTTTAGATATATAATCAAACAGACATAATGACCTATGACTACCTGTTTTTATGAGATTTTCTAGTTGTTTATCAAAGAGAAAAAAAAAACCAGCAGCCCTAAACCCACAGTTTTTTGTACGTATTAGGATCATGTACCCTACAAAGGCCAAGACCTCCTATGGGTTTTGTGTCCCCATTATCAACAAGTCCTGTCTATCCTGGCACAAAAATAACTTAGGAATAGAGTACTAGCTGTTGCAGAATAAACAGAAAATACTGCAGGCTGTCTAATTAAATTTAAAGCATTTCAAATTATTCAATGATATAGCAGAAAGGTAGCATTAGATTTAGTCTATCGATTTTTCACTGTGCGTTATACTGCCATTTTGCCTACTTCTAGTTTGGAACATGGCCAAAGTTCTTTCTAGCTGAAACTGTTAATATAGGCATGAATCACATGTTATTTTCTTCATTGTTACCGATATATCTTACTTCCTAATTAATTCATGTTTTTATTGTGAGCTACTAAAGAGTAACTTAATCACAGTTCAAGTCAGCCAAGAAGAAAAAATAAAAAAATCCTGCTACAAGTGCACCTGAATTTTGAGGCTGAGCAGGTTCCTTCATGAGACCCCCTGCACTAATATTAAAGTGGTCTATAAGGGCAGACAGAGCTCTATAGAGAAGGTAAATTATTTGTTTGTGCATGGCCGTGGATGTGGAGGGTGGAGACTGGTCATGGGAAACAGGCCAGCATGCTGTATGTGCCCTAAGGTGTTCGTCCATCTCTTTGGCAAGATCCGCATGGACAGGGTGGACTTCTGAGCCCAAGCCCTGCCTGAGGCACTAGCAGCATCCTGCAGGACATAGCAGCACTCAGCTCAGGTCTGAAAACCCAGTGTTGAGTCTCAGATTGAGAAAGTCAGGACACAGTTTCTCCCTCGTGCAGCCAGGACTCTTTTGAGCGTCAGACAAAACCTGGCCATGGCATCCATGGCACAACCAAGTGCCGCACAGTGGAGTTATGATGTGGGTTTGGACAGGCTGTGTGTTGCATGTGTGGTAAATTTGGTCTCCTCTGAGACCAACCATGGTGTCACTGCACTTACCATCCCACTTTAGTTCCTAGGACTTGTCCCTCCTCCGTGGGATGAACTGCTTGGGGTGGAGGTTGACTTCCATTGGCATAGCTGGAACAAAGGAGCCACCCAGAAAGACGAAAGCCCAAGAGGTTGAAGAGGTTGAAGCTGATGGTCAAGCAAGAGCTTCCTATGCAGCTGCCCACCCATGCCAAATGCTGGGAGAGCTCCTGCCTGGCCCACCCATTGGACGCAGACTGCTTTTTGGGTATCATCTCTGGTACATAGTCTAGTGGTTGTGCTGTGGGACTGGAAACAGAAAGCCTGGGATTGATTTCCAATGGGACTGAAGTGCTTTTTTTTTCCCTTAGGTCTTCTAAAGGTGCTGTAGAGTGATCACCACATTTAGTGAAGAAAAAAAAAAGTAGTAGGTCCGAGTGAAGGAAGCAGACCAGCTGATTTCAGTAGATCAGTGGAATAAACTTAAAAGAGATGCTATACAGAAACTGTTATAAGGGAGATACAGGTGGAGACAAAATATTCTTATGGAATTTTCAAGATTTGGTCAGAATTATGCGATGCAGTGAAAACACCTGAGAAGTATTTCTAAAATTCTTATAACAGATCTGCGTCTTAAACCAGAGACATTCTGAGTCAGTGACTGTCATACCTAAATAATTCATCTCCTCAGCCACGTTACACTATAAGGCATTTATATAAAAATGCAACATTTTCTTCTCCTCCAAAATCACAAGGCAAGAAATCATCAGAGGAGTTTCATACTGCCGGAACATACTGCCACAGAAGTGAACAAGTTCTCTTCCTGTTATCTGCAAAAACTAAAGTTGTTTGAACATTATTTTCTTATTATCTCTTGATGGAACGCTGATTCTATGTATGAGCTCATATCTCTAACATTAGTATTATACTAGATCTCACACTTGGTTTTTTTATACATCTTTTGAGTTCTGCCACTCCCATAGCTCAGATGGCATTTTCACAGGAGAGGTATTAATGCATTTTCAGACAAGGCCAGAAGGCATCCTCCAAGAATACACTGCTTTTAGGTGGCTC